AATTCCCCAGGAGAGCACAGTACTATACAATGACATCCTTGACGTGCAGCCGTGATAATAATAGTATCGCCGAAAGAGGCTCTGCCACTGTATGGAGTTGGTAAGTTCACTTGATCCAACCAATCCCACAATGATGCACTGTACCTTGAGGTATTCCCAATACCATTCCATTGATACTTGCAAATAACCTTGTATCCATCCGATCCAGTATGTGCTGCTGCTGTTTCACTGTAAGGTTCGTTAATTAACAGGTTTCGCTTTGTAGATCCAATACCACGCATACCATTGAGCCAACGTACAGCGTTCTTGCTTTGATATCAATGTCTTGTTACTGCCACAGGTACCATCATCCAACGTAATCAAGCTACAGTAAATGCAATGTAAGGTAACAAGGATAGCATTCAAAAAGCATGAGAGTCATACATACCTGAATCACGCAATCATCACCCGCAGACTTGGGAACCAAATAGGCCATCAGCATGTAAAGTAATAATCAAAGCGCACAGCCAAAGAAACGTCATTGTACCGGTACTCTCCTGTGGATCGACGCGATGAAGTGCATCAATAGAGATACCATCTTCTCTCTAAAGGCAAGGAGATCAATAGCCGTAAAACGATGGAGCCGTGCGAACAGAGGATGCATTTTTAAATCCCTGAGGCCGCAACATGAGTCGCACTGTCCCCGGGCACAACATGTAGAGCTCCACAGGAAAGTGTAGTACAATGACATCCTTGACGTGCAGCCATGATAATAATAGTATCGCCGAAAGAGGCTCTGCCACTGTATGGTGTTTGGTAAGTCCACTTGAATCCAATCAATCCCACAATGAGCCTCTTACCTTGTGGTATTTCTCAATAGCATCTTTGCCTCAAATAAAACCGTATATCCATTCCATCCAGTAGGTGCTGCTGCTGTTTCATTGTAAGTGTCGTTAATTAACAGGGTTCGCTTTGTAGATCCAATACCACGCATACCATTGAGCCAACCATACAGCATTCTTGCTTTGAGATCCGTATCCTGTTGCTGCCAGAGGTACCATCATCCAACATGTTCAACCTACCATAAACGCAATGTGAGATAAGAAGCAAACCCAATCCACGCGCTTTTGTTGTTAGCATACGCAAAAGAAGCAATGTAAAGACGTCTTGAGAACTCTCATTGTGGACAACTCGGTAAGGAAGACACACGACGCCGTGGACCATGGTGATCACAAGGAATTGCAACCAAATACACCATCCGAAGGCAATACAATAATCAACCTGCAGCGCCAAGGTATGCCACCATATGTACCATACTCTCATT